TATGATGTCAGCAGAAGTGAATCACGCTGGAACAGAACCAGCTTCTCTGGCACAGTGCCAGCGATCCATTTGGGTTTTATTACCCATTTAATAGCGTAGCATAGATTTAGATTCTTTTGAGTGCTCTGGCTTTGGTAAATTCTCCAGTTTGTCCTAAATGCAATATGAATGTCTGGTGATCCAGGCACAAACCTAAGGAAGCTGCCAGCTACCCGAGCTTTCTCCTTGCTTGTGATTAAATCACTGTAACAAAAAGGAGGTGAAAGTTGAAAGAACTGACTTTTTCCCACTATTGGTAATTTAACAAGAAAGTGGGTTAGAACTGTCTTTCCTACATACTTGTCATTTTTGGCCTCTCTGTTTTCGCTCGCCTCGCTGGCGTTGCTGTGTTGGAATTACGTATAAACGTCTTACGGCAGGGTTTGATCTTCGGAGCTCTTTGTGTTGGTCTCTGAACACCCTTAGGAGTGCTGTTAGTACAAAAGAGACATCCTCGTACTGAATATTATGGTCTGTACCAAACAGACCTTTATTCTGTTGAAGTACTTTAGTGCTAAAATATATTTTGTGAGGAAATACCTTGAAGGTTGTATGAATAGAGGATACATGAAATGGAGGGTTTTTTCTTTTGCATTTCATCTTCCACTTCATTAGAGGCTGGTTCGAGAGACCCCTCTTCCCTGTGGGCAGCTATAGTCCTGCCTGTGCTTTTTGTGTCTAATTAGTCATTTCTGTTCAGTACGCTTTGTAAAATATTTCTAGATATTTCTCTTAGGTACTGTGTTGAAAAAAACTCAAATAGATGTGTCTTTTTCTGTGAAGTGGCAAATGTTTTGGTAGAAAACAGCACGCTTGTTTTGTGGAACTTGGTGTCATTGGGTTTGCCCTCTTTCTTACACTCTGTTCAAATATAGGCCAAATTAAATAAACCATACTTGCCTTTTTCACATGGTAGATGTCTGGTTTTGCCAACTTTCTTTTCATTTCAATAAATGTTGTATTAATGCCTCTTTGAAAATTAAATTCAGTGCAACATGGACCACTGAAACTCCTGTGTTCCGTAAAACCACGGTGGTTTATCACAAGAGCTGTACCATTATCTGTTTGTAGAAGCGTAACTGCTTGTGCTGTGAATCATTATGGTGCTTTAGAAATGTCTTTAACCTACAGGTGTTACTATGGAAAATTGTTCCTCAGGGTCCTGAGCCCCAGTGGCTTGTGATTTGTGTTGATCTGTCTGTGGGTGCTGTGTGTGCTTGAGATGAGCCAGATACAAGCTGTTTTTTCATTAGTGTGAACTTTTTTGGGTTTATGGCTTATGTACTACCCTACTGCAATATTTTTGTTGATCTGTGTATGAAGAATATCCTAACATAGCCATGTAATGAAAAAAAAAAAGGGTGCGGCGGGGCAAAAAGCAGCATTAACTCTTTGACGAGAATGTTTTCAAGTTATGTTCTCTTTTAATCAAGAGAAACCGGTTCTCATACTGAAAGACACCACTTCTGTGGAGGATGCTTTGGGAGGTCAGACCCAGGGAGATGTCTTGCTCTCCTTGCATCTGAGGGAGCTGGGTACCAACTGCTCGTTAGCATTTAATGATCTCCCTTGTGGTGTGCACAAGTATTATGTTCTGCTTTGAAAAAGAAATGTAATAATGTAGTAGGTTTCCAAATATCCCGAGGACTGTACTTACTAATGAGGGGCTGCAGACTGCTGCTGCCTTTTCCTGGTTGCCAGTGAGGAGGGCTGTCTTACAGAACTGCCTAGAATTTAGGTTTGTGCCCTTTCTTAATTTGGAGGTTTCTTTTACTAATTTGTTCTCCTCCATACAGTAACCACAGCGATAAACATGTTTGTTTTCAGTGAGGAAAATCGTTTCTTTAGCTGATTGTGCAGTAAAGTTTTGGAAATCTTTCTGGGTAATAAAAGCTAATAACTTTTCCAAAACATGGGTAGCATGTAGCGAGTCCTTTTTAAAGATTCTTTTTTTCCTCCCTCAAATGTTTTACTGCAAAATGAGTGCATATAAACATGAACACATTTTGGGTTTAGTAATCTTGCAGTTTTATTCTGGTAGTGACCGTGATTACCTTAGGTTAGTAATAACCCTTTCATTTCTGTTTTACAAGAAAAATATTGATGGACGTGGAATCATGAGCGGCCCAGCTAAACTCACTAACCAGTCTTTGAACTAGCAGGGGGGTTAGACTTTCTTGTCAGGAGGCCTGTTCTGCTGGAGGCACCATTTGGTGCCCGCACGCTGATGATGTGACCCCGCAGGTAGATGGGACGAAGGCTCAGTATGTGGTTCCCAGGGCCAACAAGACATGTAATATAAATGCCTTGTTGTCATACAGTTACTGAGTATTCAAGTATAATTATGTCAGGCCTGTTTAACATATGATACACGGGGGATTAGATTCTTTAGTCTCTCTGTTGGAATATTCCAAAGAATTTATTACTTAAAGGAAATACTAAAGTACCTACAGTATAAAACATGTGGGCTAAGGAAAATGTAATTTCTTGTAATCTGCTTTCCCATTTGTTTGTGCGTAGTTCATAGTAATAATCTAAACACAAAAGACGGTCACAAAATTCCCTCTAAATATGAAATAACTGATCAGTCCTGTTGAAAAGATGCTGCCATCTTTATCGGAGACCTTGGATAAGAAGAACTTGAGAAATATCACAGAATGGGAAGGGCACTGTTTGTGCATAACTGCTGATATGTTAAACAGCTCTTGTAGTGAGTTCCTTCTTAACAGAGCTGACGTGGGCTCTAGCAAATCTAAGGCAGATCTTAGACCTGTGACAGCTCCTTTCTCTCCCTTCGCTGCTTGCTCCCTTCAGAGGTAACCAGCTTACTGCAGCTGTAAGCTTTCTTTGTGCTGGCAGACATCTGCACTCCCTAATCTAAACTCAAAACATAGGTTTTAAAAAGGCCGTTGAGTTTTCCAGTGAGGGGAAAAAATGTGTCAGTGGTGGTGAGAATTGCAGTGTAAGAAAGCAGCTGGGTATTCAAGTTGAATCAGTATTCTGTGTTGGAGAAACATTGTGACCCTTGATGGCTTTTAAAAAAACAGTGGAAAGCTGAGGATTAAAAAGCTATCAGAACCCAATAATCCCCTTGTATGTGCCATCTTGTTTTAAAAGCTGTGGACTCCCAAACCAGCTTCTGTTTGGTATTTTTCTGCCAGTGTCATGGTGGAAGAAGCACATGCATCTTACATCTCTTAGCTTTTTGACCTTATGCTTTTTGACTTGAAAATTATTAACGTTGCAAAACCAGGGAAGCTTGCGATATCCTAAAGGGTATGACCAAGCTAGGCTCCTTTTTCACATTTCGCTAGGTGTAAAGGCACCCAGGGTAGACGGGGTGCTGTCCTCAAGCAGCCCGCTGCCCAGCCCAGTGCCGGCTGCCTGGTGCGAGCTGGGGGAGCGCGTGTGTGGACAGGCTGTTTGGAGTGGAGGGAAGGCTGGAGGCTGCAGCTCTGCCTGGTGCATCGCGGCCCCTTACTCTTGATGTGGCAGCTGTCAGTCACGGATGCCTTCCTGGGAGCTGCAGCTTGGGCAGGGATTGCTGCGGTGATGCTTTGGGATGAGTCTGTCGGCTGTTGTCGTTGTGTCCACAGCTGACTGCTAGAGCTGGCTGCTCTCGCAGCTGCGCTTGCTGCGTCGGTGCTTTGATTTCTGTAACCGTCCTGTCGGTGTGCTCTGGCTGGTTAGTTCTGTGAGGACATGGAGTAGGGCTCCCTGTTGAGCTGGTATTTTGTTGCCTTACGCTGAAGGTATAGCAATGACGTGCTTTGTCAGAGCACGTTTGGGTACTGATGATTTCACACTCTGGAGTGGTACAGCTGTGGCACTTGGTCTGTAATAATGTCAAAAGTACTGCTTTTATAAAAACCATTAAGTTGGAAGGCTTAGCACTTCTATAATCCATCCTCATGTAAATGATCTTCACTCTTAGGAATCCGCTATAACATGGAGAACTCTAGGAACTCAGATTCAATATCGAGTTGCTGTGTCTGTACTTAATAAATGCATATTAAAAGCACAGTGCTGGGTCATTTGAAATATTGCTGCTTATAAAAACTTATAAATTTGCTTTTGAACTGTACTGCATAGGGGATCGTCAGACTCCACAACAGCATCTTTATGGAGTGGATGTCTTCATCATGTCCTGCTTATGGTGCTAATCAATATCAGGAATGGAAATTGCACTTTTTAGCTATCCCTCTTTAGTTACTGCAGTGCTGTTGGGAGTTACTTTATACTGGTAGGGTCTTTCAAAGAAATCATCTACAGGAGAATGCATTAAGAGCCTTAGGAGGAGAGCATCGTGGCAGAAGCTTTATTCTTTTCCAGACTCAAATGATCATTGGTGCATGTGGGTAACTTCAAGGGCAAGAGCCTTTGATTCAATACTGAAATCAAGGTGGTTTGAGGAACTTAAATCTCTGCTAGATAAATGGTAAATGACTTCTCAATTGCAAATTCCATCTGCTCCTGTGTTCCAGATGGGAAGTATGTGTTCCTAATGTCTGCAGTGTGTTAAAACAGTGCACGTGTGTTCATGGAACATTCCAACTAGACTTTTATCTGAACAGCTGAAGACACTTGATGTACTCATGAAGAATAACTGTCTCGTATTAATATGATTTTATTAAGGTAACTTTGTTTTGCTGTATGATGTCTGCAGAGAACTGGAAAGTAAGTCTGTCTTTAGACTCATTTGCATCTAGTAGCATATTGTCATTTCTCTTTGTTTATTTAAAAAGAGAAAATACTGTCTGTTCACAGAGTGTCTACTCAGAATTTGGTGTTAATGCTTTTGAATCCGAAGGGGACTCTTGTGGCTGAATTAGAAGCAGTGGAAGATCACAGCATGTCACACTGGAAATGCTGACTTACAAATAGTTGTCTGGGTGAATTTTGTATTGTATGTGTGACCAAACGGAGCATGGAAGCTGCTAATTAATGTTTTCTGTTTTCTTGCCCCTAGTTTCTTTGCTTGAAGAACATAAGGACTTTTCTTTCGGCATGTTGTGAAATATTTGGGATGAAGAAAAGTGAACTTTTTGAAGCATTCGATTTGTTTGATGTCAGAGACTTCGGAAAGGTAAGGATCCTTTTAATGACATCCTGAATAATGACCGTGTTCTGCTGCTTGAGTATACAAGACTTTCATGGTAGATGTGGTGTCAAAGTTGTGACTAATGGATAAGCATTAATTAGTACAAAAATGGTGGGGAAGAATTAAGAAAGCAGGATTACTTTTACAATGGTAGGGCTAAGCAAGGGCAGAGAACAATCCCTGGTGGGAACGTTGTGAGGTGTGAACAGGCGAATTAAAAAAACGGACTGAAAGATGCTGAGTTTAAGGTAAATGAAATGTGTGTAAAAGGCAAACTGTGGGCAAGTGCTGTCTGATGAAACCGCTTTTGACAGAGAAGGAGCATGGAACCAGAAACCTTGGGCCTATAGCGAGACCACATGGCACAGAGCATGTTGCTTTAGTCTCAGGTGCTCGGAATTCACCCATGTATCTGCCCTTTAAATGTAATTTTTGTGACAATTAGTTTTTAAATCTTGTTTTTTCTAACTTGCTGTAGAGCTCAGATGGAGTCGTGGTGGGTTAATGTGGCTGTTCTGATTTAAACAGCCTGAAGAATATTCTGTACTCCTGTGATTGGTTATTCTATACGTAAGAGCTTTTTCCAGTCTGTTGTTCTCAACCTCCTACGTATCTGTTTGATCTGTCAATGCCAGCATATGTGCAGTTTGACTTCGGTTTCTGCTTTTGAGTCATAGGGTATCATTACCTCCTTTTCACAGGAAAGGGTCTAAAAATTACCTGAAGTGGCACCAGAAATAGTTGGTTATTCAAATGTAGAATATTTCAAGCATTATTTCTTTTTTTAGGAGCTCACACTTTTACTAATTTTGATGCATTGCTCTTCTTTTAAAAGTGCACATAGAGGTAAAGGTGATGTCAGAGTGCAGGCGTGAATCAGAGGTGCAAGATGACTGAAATGCTTTGCTGATTACTGTTAGCCAAAATATTGAGTTACTTTTCTGAATAATTTGTTTGGGTTTAGGTCCTTTGAGTATAAAATGAGAGAAAGCTGGTAATGCCACTTGTGTAGTTATGCTGAACATCTTCTGTCCTCATAAATCATATTTAAGACAAAGCTTTTCTTCCAATATGGTCCTTTTTTTACTATATATAGTAGTATTGCTTATTAAAAGTGAGATTTGTCTTTCTTTTGATAGTACAAGTAGCAGAGGAATTAATTGTTGGGTCTTTCTGTATCCTAACAATGTCTTATTTAATAACTCAAGTGTCTCAATGCTTTCTGCAAATCTTTGCTACCTATGCCTAATGCACAGAAATTGTTAGTTATGCATTCTAATTACTGAGATTTTCACATTTTGTACCATTAAACATAACCAGCCTGGTTTTTTTACACAGCCTAAATCTGAAAAAGTATTTTGCAGTGCAAATTATTATTGCTGCATCATTGAATACTCAGTAAACAAGTTCTGAATTATGGCTGAATTGAACCCAACAATATGTTTCTGGCAGTCTTTATTTGCCCTTGTGGCAGAGTTTATTTTAGGATATGGTTTTATTTAAGTAGAATAATTGGTTTTAAAAAACATACTGTCTTCCATCCATGATATTTACTATTATATTTCTCTTCCTAAAGTAAAACTGGATGCAGAGACACGGAATTTTTTTTCTACTGTTTGTTGCCACTGTGTAGGACAAATAGAAGACTTATTCCTGGTAGTGGTTTTTCAGTTTTAGCAATGGTGATACTGCTGATAAGCGATGGTTTCTCTGGTCTCAGCCTCCTCAGTGGCCTTTTGCCCCGTTTCTTGCGAAGCTACCAGGTAAAAATGCAGTGACGAATTTGAAAGACGCTGGGGCGTGGGATTCTTTGGTGAGGCTCTGTGTGCGGACAGCTGCTTGTGCAGAGGTGGAGAAGGTAAGCTGAACAAGCCCGTGCAACCCCTGCGATAGCTGTGCTGGGCACGCTGGTAGGTGCACAAAGGCGCTGCTGTTCGGCTGTTTCCATTGCGTGCTCGAGTGGAAGGTTGCCGCGCACAAGCGGAGGTTGCCATGTGCTGTGTTTAGGCTGATCTGTGTGTTTTACCAGGCCCTGCAGATGAGCATGTAGTCAGCTTCCTCAAGTAGCTGGTGACCTGGAGGATGTGAATAAAGTGGAGGTGAAAATTGCCACTCCATTAAAATGTACAGCTGGCCTTACGCTGAGTTAGTTCTACAGCCCAAGGCTTTGTGTTGGTACAGTTAGCTGAGACTGTGAAGTGGCACGGTATTTCACTTGCCTGTCTGATAGCGTGCCTGTTGCTTTGGGAATTCTGGTTGCTAGTAGCAGCAGTGAGAATAAGAAAGCTTAGTTTTTTCAATTTGTTCTTTGCGTCTCAACCTTTTTTCCCTATGAATAACAACCCCAGTGTAGTCCTAAATCTCCAGCCTTCTTGAATTGATGCTGTATATATGCAAATATCCAGAAAGACAGTGCTGCAGGTTTTCCCTGCTACTGCAACCAAGTCATTCTGCTCTTTGTTAAAGAATTCTTTGAACTGCTCTTCCTAGATGTGTACGAAATACTAATGATGGCAAAATGGTTATGAAAAGGATGATATGGTTTGGAAACAGTCTGTCTTCCAGACTGCTGGCCTAATAGGTGATGGAATGAGTGTGTGCAGTACCTACAGCTTTACGCATTTGGGTGTCGTGGAAGCTGTCTCGATGTCAGAAGTTGGCAAGTACTTGTCAGTGCTGAGATGTAAATAAACGTTAGCTGAGGTGACTCCGTAAGCCTTGTGTATCTGGTACGTTAAATGCTTGTTGAATTTGTAAAGCAGTGATTATGGAATTTGTTGTCTTACGATGGAACGTTCTGCTTAATACGACAGACTGCAGTGCCTATTTAAGCGTGGTAGTGGAGGGATCAGGAAAAACGTGTCAACTGTAAATGAACAATGTGCCTTCAAGGGAATCTGATTGAAGGGAAAAATTGGATGACAGACCTTGTGATGGAAATTGCCCTTTTTTTTTTTTTTCATCTTCCAAGAGCTTTTTCAACTTTTTGAAGCAAATGTCAGCCAAGCCCTATGCACGGTAGAAGTAGCAGCCCTATACTGCCTATATAGTCATAAGACTTTTTAACTGCCTTGTGAAATACTGGTTGCAAAATGCTTGATGTAATGGTGAAACATGCATTTAATAGTTAGGGGCAAATGAGCAGTTTTCAGATGCTTTGACATAAAGTCTGAAAATTCAACCTGAACTTTGCGCTCTGCTTTGCTGAGGCACTTTGATCTCTGATTAGAGTGTATGCGGTGTGGATGGAAATCGGGCGTGAAGCTGAAGTAGCAGCATGTAGATAGGAAATAGGTAAACAGGGAAGCAGATAATCCTGTGAGTTTATTTTGAATGCATATGTTCTCTATCAATATTGGTAGCAGCTGTTGCAAGACAAGGTTTTCTTCGGTTGCAAGTATAATAGCACAGGTTTTCTTATTTGAGACTGCTTGAAAAAAGAGACTACATTAAACAAAAATCGAAATGTTCTTAAATCATGCTTTCTAAAACTCCATCAAACTTGTTTTTCCTTGAGTTCTACAGTATTCGCCCATTCCCACTCACCTTTCTGTCAGTACATTTCCTTGTTGCAGTGTTAAGATCCTGACGGAGCATGAAATGCCCTCCCACGCACGCGGGGTGCCAGACAGTGTTTTCATTACAAATTCCATGCTGGAGAGTCATTTTTCACTAGCGCAGGGTTGTCAGGTTCTTCCTTTCTACCTGTGTGCCAGAATCAACAAGGAGTGTTGATGCCTGTTCTCTCAGCTCTGTGAGCCCCGCACACTCCCAACAGCAGTCTCTGCTGTTCGGTGTGCCGCAACAAATTGTTACCGTCCCTCTTCTCCAAAGGAAGTTTGCAGCTAATGCGTTGCAGAAATGGGAATTTGAGGATTAGTTCCAGTGCCCATTGATGTCACTAGATGCTCCCTGGCCTTAGAGAGCGGAGTTTGAGGTTCTGTGGGGGAAAACGGTGTCCAGATACTGTCAGAAAAAGGACTTTGTGTACTCTTTTTCACTATTCTGAGTAATGTATAACTGAGCACGGAGTGTTTTTTGTCACAGTCGGTTTAGTAGGAACACAGCCATGCACCCACCCCCCGTAGGGGTCCTGCAGTAGAGGTCTAGAAATAACATACAATATTCAATCATGATTTAAAAAATAACAAACAAGGGGATCAGATATCAACGGCTACCAATCAAACAATGCCTAATTGTTTAAAAGCATGTCATATAACTTCTAGTGTAGCAAACGCTCCGGTGACGCTTAAAAGGCTAGTTTACGTGAAAGCAAGCAACTGCTGTGAAATACCAAGTGCATACACATGAGGTCATGTTGTCTGTGATCGTTTTAGTCGCAAAGGAAATCCGAGCTATGATGCAGCAGAAAGTCATGCTGAAGTTGAGGATCCTGGTGTATTAGTATTCCCTCAGGCTTAAGATTCCGGGAAGATCAGGCAGCTGTGCATGAGATGCAGACATCATATGAACACAACAAAGAGCAGCAGTAGTTATAACGAGTTACATACCTCCTCAGGAAGAGAGAGGAGGAAAAATATTTAGGGCATCTTCACTAAAACTGAAGCATTTGAGATTAACCTCAGTTGTTTCACTTTTTATTTGGTGGATTTAACGAGTGGGGTAACAGCAAAATACGAGCACTTTCACTAATAGTCATAATAGAACTGCAGAACATTGGGGAACATGCCAAGACATAATGGCATATTTCTGTAAAGATACTAAAATGGAGAAAGAGAAATGTAGTGGTCAAAACAAGACAGTCATTCAGACCAGAGCTCTGTATCTGCGTTCTCTGAGCTCTTTTAGAGGTAGGGGGAAAAAAAAAAAAGGCATTGTAGTGGCATGCTTGAGAAACTGGCTGTTCAGTTGCTTTTAGGATTAGCATTTTAACGTGTTGAAATGTTTCGGTGCTATGGACTGGTTTGGGATGAATGACACTCAAACTCCTTCAAGGTGAACTTGTGAATGTGGGAGAAAGAAGA